TTATTTTGACATAATGAAAGACTCGAACCACTTTAATTGAACTTCTTTCTTCAAGACAAACATACTAATATCAAGGTCGACTTTTATTGTGGCCGATTGAAAGTCTTTTCAACAACTTTCTCACTTCTTTCTCAGCTTTCAAGAATTTAAACACAAGATTAAAGTCTTAGGACCAAAATATTAACATAAAAACCAAAACGGATCAAACATGTAAAAAATCAAAATGGATCAAATATGTAAAAACTTGTACTTTTAAGACATACATTGATATCCACAATGCTTTTCTCTCTACGTGAACAAAGGTTTATGAACATTAAAAACAATATTTTTAATGATTAAAAAAGAATTAAAAAGAATTTTTGAAGAGAACTCAACCTTAAAAGAGTTTTTTAAAAGATGAAGGGATGAAATTAAACAAAATAAAAAATAGTAAAAAAAATAAAGACCAAATTTGATATAAATACGAAATAGAATGAAATGCCGTGGGATAAAATAAAAAAAAAACATTAATGAAAAAATAAAATTTAAAACAAATAAAGAGCAATAAAAATAAAGGTCACAATTGAATTAAGAAAAAAAATGGAGTACCACTTTTAGTTTTGGTTGGGATTGCACATTTTTCAAGAGAAAAAGAGAGGGGGAAAAAAAAGAAGTAAAAATAAAATTGTTGTGTAGCCATAATGAGAAGCCTTGCATGTGTTGTCCTTATTGACCCACCTCCAAGTGTATCGTCGATTAAGACAATAATTACTAACTTTTGGCCTCCAGGAGACATCACCTCATAACCTAAAAGGTATGGACACCTCTCATATGCATCAATAACTTTTCTCTTTTCTTTTCTTTTAATTTAATTTATTAAAAGATCCAGGTGTCTTTATCCCCGTGATATTAACAAAAAATTCATAATAAAAAGGTCCAAAAAAACCCTTTTACTAAAGTTTTTTTTTTTTTATTATTTCTAAGGTGCCTTAGTAATTACATTGTGCTAAGAAAGATAAAAAAAATACTCTTGCTCAAAAAGTTAAACAAACTTAACTTTTAATGATATTTTAGACATTACATCATGCAAATAAAATGTTAATATATTGTTATATACCCATTCAATCTTGTAATAACAAATGATCTCATGGGAATGAAAATTTTTTCTCAGGAAATACGGTATATGATTTCAATCATGAAAGGCAAAATGGTGATTTTATTAGGCAAGTTCATAGTAAATTGTGAGTGCATGAACAATGAATTCTTAATCAGTTTTAGCTTTTGTTTTAATAGGTTAATATCTTTCTTTTCTCATGTATAATTAAAATTTTATAGTACTAAACTGTAAGGCAACATTAAGTTATTATCTTAAGAATATAAGAGACAAAGACAATGAAAATGGAGATGGAGGAGATAAGATGAAAAAAAGAAATCAAAGCAGAATGGTGTGGTAATGATATATAAGATAAAATGAATGTTTATAACATCTTTAATTTTTCATTTATGAAATTCAACATGCATATAAATAATAAAGTTGCCATAAATTTTTATTTTTTGAAAATTTTGGTAGCATTTCATCTATTCAATAACATTATCAAGTTATTGACATCATCAATACTTGCATCAAATATCCTTTTATTACATATTCAATTATCATGGATATTTTTTATTGATCATCACAGTCTCATTTAAACTAATTTGATTTACATATACTTTTTATATTTATTATATAACAAAAAAAATATTTACAATGTATTACTAATTATCTTATGAAATTAAAGAAATTATAACTATTTAAATTAAGGGAAATATAAAAACATCACATTCCAATTAATTAATAAGTATTTACTAATAAAATTACATGTCATCACACATCAACTAGAAAATTATTTATAAGTTCAACATTCAACATCATCATTAAGTTACTAACTTTTCTATCCTAATAAATTAATCCAAAATAGAGTTAAATTACTTCCTAAACTATAAAAAAAAGAATTAGATGAGCAATCCATTCTATTTTGGACAAGTCTAGAAAGAACCTATAACATATAACATATATTTACATATATAATTAGTAAGATACAATATCTGCATTAAAAAATATTTTATATCATAATTGTATTTCTTTTTTATCATTAAATAATTTTCAGTCTTTGAATCTAACAATATCTCCTTTTTTATTATCCTTTGATTATCAATACCAAATATTCATAATATTATTGATAATTCAAATTGGTGATTTACCCCTACCAACATCTTGTATATTTATCATTATCAACTTCTCCATCCCTTAATTGACTACTTAATTTAAGTCAATATCAATAGATATCATTAATTACCCCACTTAATAATTAATTTACATTAATAATGATATTGATCATTATTATCAGTCATTTTCTTTCTCAAGAAAATGACTAATCAATTTGTGTCAATATCAATACCTTTGATATCATTAATTATCTATACTTGATAATTAATCCATTTCAACAACGATATTTATTGTTATCACTAGTCATTTTTTTTTTAAAGTGACTTATCAATTTATATCAATATTAATACCTTTGATATCCTTAATTATCCTTACTTAATAATTAACATATGCCGACAACGACATTCATTGTTATCATCAATCACTTTTTTTCTCAAGTGACTAATTAATTTATTCTATTTATTATAATATTACTATCATTTGTCATTCTTATTTTGAATGACCAATTTACTCTCCACTTTCCTTAATATAAATCATTTTTTTTATTACGATGAATCTATTATGATTGATATTAATTTTTCTACTATCATTATTCTTCAAGTTTTTTGGATAACTAATCCAATTTCCTTCTTCTACAATCTTTTCTTTCACTAAATTATTATAATCTAACCCTTTTACATTAATTTAAAAATAAGACAATAAATAATTAAAAGATAAAACGCATTACTAAATTATTAATTTTAGGCTTTATTGTACTTGCTTTATGCACGTAAAGGTTTGAGCCTCTTGTTTAAAGCCTTCTTACAATGATACCTTTTATTATACCATAATCAATATTATCAATATTTTCATAAATACAATTAGGGATCTTACTTGACCCCTCATTTTTTATCTCATAAATATTCAATAATTTTCAATAAATAATTTCATTCTTACATGTATTTCTTATCATAAATTTGATCATTCTTTTCCCAACAATTACAAAATAATCAACTTTTTTTAATAAAATTTATTACAAATTTCCAATTCTTTTCTCTCAATTCTTCACTCGATTGGCCTTAAAGACCCCCCTCTCTCTCCCTTTTAGGTATTATATTTCAACCTAATTCAATTACAATTAGTTTAATTAAACCCCTACCACTCATCATTTTTATCAAAATTTCAAACAAAATCCACTCCTCCTTCTCTCCCTCCCTAGCTGAATATGTGTGTCCAAAAAAGGGAATGATTTATTTTAAATTTATACCATTTCCTCACTAATCTAATCTTTATTCATACTTTTAAACTTGATTCTAACAACAATAATTCTTAAAATCATCATAATAATAATAATTCATTCCTTTTCATAATACACAAACATCATTATAAACCTTAACCTTAATATGCTAAAATTCATAAAACCAAATACAATAAAAGTTCTTATCTTGAAACAACAAAGAATCAAAGAGAATTTTGGAAGAAAATTCAAACTTTCTTTCACCTTTATTTTCCTCTTTTTCTACACCAAAGTTTCTCTTCTAAATCCTCTAAGTCACTCATTTTTCCTCTCTAATCACTCTCTCACCTTTTTTATTTCTTAAAACCATTACTTTTTAGGGAATTTATCAAGAAATTTGGAGAAGATTTTCAAAAAAACAAACTCCCTTTCTTTACCATGCAACCAGCCCAAGGAGAGAGAAAAAAGAGTATTTATACTCTTTATTTTGTTTATTTATAAATTAGTCCCTAAAGATTTTAATATCTTTTAATTTGACCCTTCATTCTTTTAACCAATTTTAAATGTTACACCAAACTTTTTATTGTTTAATTCACTTATTAATATCCCTTTAAAATAATTATCATTGAAAATATATTTTTATATTATTTTTTTAAACTAGCTTTTACACTTTATCTATATCTTATTTGGTTATGATGGATACGACATAATAAAATATTAAACCAAAGTCTATTTTATCTTTAATATACATTACTTACAAATTTACATATTCAAAATAAATAATTAAATATTATTTTTTTTACTTTACTTTTTAATAATATTATAATAACCTTAATTATAAAACTCTAATTATCCCTTCATATTGATTTAAGACCTGAATGACTAGGGGCTTAGACTAGTCTCAATTTAAGAAAATATGAAAAAAAGATTGATATAATCTAACATGATCAAAAATCCAAGTTGATTTGTAACCGATCAATCCAAGATAAAACATAAATAAAAAAATCTTTGGACTTTGTTTTGAATTTTTTTGGTCAAAACAAAGTTACTTCAATTGTTTTTTTCTTTTTCTATTGACTTAAGTTAACTCAAGTTTACTCTTTCAACTCATATCCCCAGCCTTAACTTAGATCAACCATCAAGTTGAGTTAAAAATTTATAATAATAGTCATTTTATTTTTATATATCTTAAATGAATAAATTTGAAATTAAAAGTTTTTTACAATGATAATTTAGAAATAAAAAATAATTAATATTATAAAAATATGTTTTCTCTATATCTCATATTTTAAAAATATAAAAATTCACTATAAAATTATTTCAAAGACAAAAAAAAATTATTTTTCCAAATACATTTTTATCTTCATCGTCTTTTTTTTTCCTGTTAAAAAATAGTAATCAAATACTACATAATAGCTATATACTTACATTAATGTTGCAGAGAAATAGCCAAAGAAAGAAAATCGTATTTTATTCCACAAAAACAATAAAAATTATCTTTTCCATTAAAAATTATTTTTAATTTTTTTCTTTCATGCTTCTCACCTCTTTATGTTGTATCCAAGTATCATAGAAATTATCCTTTAAAACCTAGGGTTCCGCATCAATGTGTAGCCTTCAAAGAAAGGTTTTCTTGACATAAGTGTGATGTGAACTTGTGCAATTACCTGACTAGAGCTGGGAGAGTTTGAGGATCTCAATTCTCAATATACAAACCAAGGCCTGACCATGGATGCCATTTTCTTTTCCAAGAACTGGATGGTTGTCGAACAATTTGGCTTTTGCCGTTAATTTTATGTACATATAAAGTCTGTCTGCTCCTACCTACGCTTGTTCATCTTGTAGCTTCGTAGCGTTGTAGCCTTGTAATAGAGGGACCTTCTGGGCACACGAGGATTCCGGCTTAGCAGCATTGCAATCATCACCCAGCTCTTCTTTGGCTTTCCCCCACATTACGGTGTAAAATCCAATAGATATAATTGTTGCTCCGATCAAACTGCAAAATACAGGATAGAGTTTGCAAAAATTCACACGAAATAAAGAAGCTTTGTGTTTTTCTTGCATACATCTCAAAGTTGATGGAGATTATGGAGTTAATTATAATTTGGTTTGTAGTTTAACAGAACTAATCAATTAATCCTTACTATTTGATTATTTTTTAAATTACATGGACTTACTCAATAGTTTCAATAACCTACAGGGACTAAGGTATAGTTAATTCTGAGACTTTGTGCTCTCTTGATTTTGCGGGACGATGAACTCAACAATATGCTGTATGACGCTGTACTAGAATCGTTTTCAGGGATGAATTAAACCTTCATTAACAGAAACAATAAACCAATTGGAAATGTTCTCTCTCTCTCTCGCTCTCTTCTTCGACTCTAGATTTTCTAGTTGAATTACTCCTATAATGAATTTTATTATATTTGTCAATAATGCTAGCCAAAGGTAATAATATTTCTATATATTTTCAAAGGGAAAGAAGGAGGAGCAAAAATCAATTTTCTTTATGTATTTTCATGCATGTCGATCACGAAGCTTAGAGTGGAGCAAGCTATAGCTGTGTTACTGTATATAAATAAGGTTGAGAGATTTGGCAAACCTTCCGAGATAAAGAGTATCACCAAGGAACATGACGCCCATCGCAACAGCAATGGCAATCGACAATGGCTTGAACAT